AAGAAAAACTATTTAACATTTACCAAATCCTGCTTAGATTCCAGCTCCTTGTCCACATCAAGGTATCCTAAGTGGGTTTGGGACTTATTCAGCTCATCCTCAAGATTGGTAAGTGATCCTGTGCCTTCACTGGTAAGTTTCCGTGAGTCCCAGCCCTTGGCACTGAGGTCATCCTCTCCAGGATCTGACTCCACTGCAATACAAAGTTTGGATCAACTGTCAGCTTGGCTTGTGTAAGCTATTACAAACAGCAAAATGGACACAAATGGTATTTTCACTTGTATATGTTAATCACTCTTTTGTAAATATAGTGGATATAAAAAGTCTACAGGAGTGTTTTTGCAAGGAAGAGTGGGGGTAAATATTGTCAAGTCAAGATGTGCCATGCTGATAGACTCCTACCCAAGAAGACTGAGTGCTTCAACAAAGTATTAGGCCCCATGTACACGGGACACTTCTGAATGATGGAAATTGACTGCTGGAAAACGTAGGTTAAAAAACATCTGTTTAGCTGCATTTGCATAACGCGTTTATGCACATTTATGTGCATTTGCGTTTAGAAGCGTTTTTTTAAAGATAACCACAGGAGAACCTCCCAAATGCTCAGAATGCACTGAAAAGTGGTAAATTATTAACTATTTCAGACTGTTTCAGAGAAATACAGAGAGAAGCAAAAACAACTGTATGTGTTCAGATAATTAGGTGTGAGTTGCTCATTAACATTTCTTTTGCTTCCAAGGGTGGGAGAGGTCTGAAGTATGAATTGGTCATTACAATGTGTGACAAGCAAGTAGGAACATCCAGTGTTTAGTGTTTTGTCCATCTGAGTACCTTGAAAATGCTTTGCATGCATTTTTCATGATGAAAAAAAGGCTCTGGACAGCATTGGGAACTGGTAGAGTTAAAATAAATCTTTCAAATGCAAGCGCTTATAAAAGCGATTTGCCGCGTTTAGCGTTTGAAACACTGATAAAATCGACTGCTGAACGAAAGTTTTCTGCGTTCAAAAAAAAACGACTGTAAACTCAAATGCCTGAAAATGACTATAAACGTATACATGGACACATAGGAAAGCATTAGGGTGAGTGCAGGGACTGCTGAAAAAAAAAAACACTGAACAGCTCCTAAACATGAGTTTATCAGCTGCAGTGTACATGAGCCCTTAGTTTAAAGGTGTGCACACTTATGCAACCATATTATTTTGTTTTTTTATTTTTTACTCCCCCCCCCCCCCCAAGAGATTTCAGTTTGTTTTTCAATTGTGTTGTACAGTTTATAGGTTACATTAAAGGTGAAAAAAGTTCTGAAATTATTTATCTTTGTCTCATTTTTTTACATCACAGAAACCTGACATTTTAACAGGGGTGTGCAGACTTTTTATATCCACTGTAGGTGTCCCCTCACACAGCAGAAGCAAACATCACTTCCGTTGTCAACACAACACATTTCATCAGTTGCACCTGAGAATCATGTAGTGTTTCCATTTTTTTTTCTATCACCTGTATGTTTGATAGACATTTCAGTTTTTTTCACTTGATGTTTTATCCTATATATCATATCTACTTCTACTTTACTAACTACAGCTCTATAAACTGCTGTTACTATTTGTTTCAGTTATGCCATATAAGTGTTGTTGCAATAAAACTTTATGGAAAAGAAATGTACTAACATATGCGAATAAGACAGAGCAGGGATTCATTCCTTCTCTTCAGAAGGCTCTTCATCAGTGTCTGAAAGGAACAGACTTTGCTATGCTTGCTCTTCAGGAATCTTATAATTTATAAATCGATGTCTATAAACTAATACTTTCTATAATACCCTGTGAAACAATACTAAAAAGTCCACCTTTCACCCTTGAAAGTATAAATCAATTGTAATAAACCTTTTTAGTGTCCATTAAAAATTGTGAAATAACACCCAAAATAAGTCCATAAATCCTTCTCCAATTTCTGTAAAAATCGCCGTATGAGTCCAATAATTGCCATGCACCTCAAAACAAAGACAACTCAATAGTGAATTATCCTCAAATATTATAAAATATATAAATATTTACCCAAATAATTCCTCATTATTTCCGTGCACCAAAAACCCACAAATCGTGAACACACTGGTGATAGTGAAACACTCTGTGTAATATTTATGTATACACTTCTCCGTGAACATTCAGTGGCACATCTAAGTGCTGCATCACATACCCTTACCCTAATGCAAAAATATGCCCGCTTTATATGAATATAGGAATCCAGAAAGAGATATACACCAACTAGATCCACATGGATGCCTTCAGATCCCTTAAATGCTCACTTCATTACTTCCACCTTCTCATGCTCCAAAGTAATCATAGAGGGAAAGAACAAAGCCATATAGTGCAATATGTATGAAAAGTATAAAGATCCACGATTTAATAAAATCTCCTTACATATAAACCATAGAAATTTGTATTAAAAATCCCATGACTCCACCTCAAGTAGCTTCCAGGGTACGCTGTACCCCTACTCGTTCACCAAAAAACTGAAAAAAAAAAAAAAAAATCAATAAAAACACAGAGACAGTTTTTGACAAGTCCTTTATTTAAAAAAAAAAACAAAGGATTTGTCAAAAACTGTCTGTGAATTTATTGATTTTCAACAGTTTTTTATGGTAACTGAGTAGGGGACCCCCACACTTTTTTTTTTTTTTACATTTTTATTGCTAATTCTTTTGTTTACATTCAGCTGCCAGCCGGGAACCCCACTGACAGCTGAAGAGTCATCCTTTCTTAACCTCCCTAGCGGTATTCCCGAGTGTAGCTCGGGGTAGAGTTTCAGTACCAAAAGCGTGGGTAACCCCGAGCTACACTCGGGCTTACCATGCAGCGTTGCACAGGGATTCCCTGCAGCGCTTACCTTGTCCTTCGCTCCCGCGATGTGTCCCCTGCAGCGTCCCTGGCCATCTCCTCTGGCCGATGCCGGCATCCGGCTTCAGTGTTCCAGTCCCTGTGACGTCGGGACGTACGGGCGCCGGAACCGATGGCAAATTTGAAAATTTAAAAAAAATGACTTTTTTTTAAAAACGATTATTTCATAGCAAAACATTGCTGTTTCAAAGCATTTCACATACATTTTGTCCCTAGTGCTTTGTCCGTGCCCTGCCTGCATTTTGACTGTTCTTTCTGCCTGGAAACTGAGAAACGTCCATGGCGTCCAAAAAGTGTCCCTTTATGTCAAAATCGGTTTTAGACCAGCTAGAGAACAGCGATAGTAAATTAGAACCACTTGCAGAATTGAGTGATAATGATTCATGGGGAAATTCATCATCAGACACTGAAAACGGTTCAGCGACTTTGCTCAGTGATGTGCGAACTTGGCACTATATTTCAAATTTCAGTGTTTTTAGTTTGATTATATTATTGAATTAAATTTATCATTATTATTTTTTATGAGTATTTATTAAATTATAATTTATGATTTCGTCTTTCAAGTTTTATCATATCCGGAACGTTTACTAGACTCTTGTTCGTACAGATTTCAGTGAGTTATTCCTAAATTACAGGCCTACAATAAAAAAACTACATATTTCCATGTAAAAAAATGGTACCGCTTTCAGCACCAAAAATCTGAAATAATCATACTGCTGGGGACGTTAAGGGTGCGGTGGCTGACTTGCTGGCCCACTCCTTAAAGTGGAACTTTAGGTAAAAAAAATGGTGAACAGGCAAGTTTAACGCAGCAGATGTCAGTGAACGGGCGGGAGAGAAGTGGGATGGTGCATCGCTGGAGCTTTAACAACCAGCTATTCACAGGGAAAAAAAAAAAAAAAAAAAAAAACACAAAAAACGCTGGAATTGGTGTTTCGGAGCATTCAGCGGTTTTTTTTTTTTTTTCTGCTGGCAAATCGTTCCAAAAAAAAAAAAAAAAAAAAAAAAAAAAAAAGCTTTTTTTCTGCTCCTAGAAACTGAAGCTTGAAAAATGTTCCTAGTCTAGAATAGTGTGCATGGACACAGGATAAAACTGCTTCTAGGGGCAGAAAAAAAAAAAACGTTTATGAATAGCTGCAAGGAGCTTAAAAATAAGCCAGTGTGCATGAAGCCTGAATCAGTGTTTATAAACAGCACTGCTCAGATGACAATATACTACATACATTGATAACATTGTTACATTTGTATCATTCTGTTCATTCATCTGCATATTAAAAGGGATGAATTTACATCTGCAAATGATTCCAGTCAAAGCAATTTCACAAGTTTTTAAAATAAAATGTTCCAGTTTAACCCCTTATTAACCCTTAATTTACTCTAATCTGCCCTAATTAACTCCTTATTCTCCTTCTCTCTTCAATTATTTTTCTGATTTTATTTGTTTCAATTTTATTAACTACTAATATTTTAACTTGTTTTGCTTGTTAATATTTGTGCACATTTAGCCCAGGTTCACACCGGCCGTCTTGTCATGTGATTTGACAGTTTCAAATTGCTTGATAAGGCGCACCCTATTGTCGACAATGGAACTGTTCAAATCGGTGCAACTCCAACTTTGAAATGCTGCACCAGTTTGCAAAAAAGGTAGCTGGGCTATTTTTTGCGATTTCAGGTGCGACTTGTATAGACATCTGTGCAGGACTTCAAGTGAAGTTGCACAATTTCAAAGTCGAATCCAGTGTAAACCATTGCTTAACATATATTTACACATTTCCCATTTTAACCACTAGCCTACAGGGCACTTATACCCCCTTCCTGCCCAGGCCAATTTCCAGCTCTCTCACACTTTGAATGAAAATTGCACGGTCATACAACATTGTACCCATATGAAATTTTTATCATTTTTTGTGACAGATAGAGCTTTCTTTTGGTGGTATTTAATCACCTCTGCGTTTTTTATTTTTTCTTAAACAAACTTTTGTAAATAAGTGATTTTTCTCCTTCACTGATGTGCGCTAATGAGGCTACACTGATGGGCACTGATAGGTGGCAGTGATAGGCACTGATGAGGAGGCACTGGTAGGTGGCACTGATGGGCATTGACAGGCATCACTGACAGGCACTAAAAGGCAGCACTGACTGGCACTGTTAGGCGGCACTGACAGGCACTGTTAGGCGGCACTGATGCACACTGATAGGCGGCACTGATAGGTAGCACTGACTGGCACTGATGGGTGACACTGAAAGGCAGCTCAGCCGGGCACTGATATGTGGCATTGATGTGCACTGATGGGCACTGGCACGAGGCACTGACACAAGGCACTGACAGGTGGCACTGCTGGGGCCACACTGATCATCAAGGCACACTGATCATCAGTGCCCTGATGATCAGTGTACATATCCCCTCTGCGGAAAGCCGATTACCGGCTCTCCTCTCCTCAAGAGCTGTCAGCGTGACAGCTCGAGAGGAGAGAAATGCCGGTAACCGGCATTTCCCTGTTTACATGTGATCAGCTGTGATTGGACACAGCTGATCACATGACCGAGTCGACATCTTCGGATCTTTCCGTGATCAGTGATCCGCTGTGTCCGAGGGACACAGTGTACCGCCGATCGCCGTGCTGCGCGCTCCCTGAGCCACGCATGCGCAGTGAGAATGGGAGGACGTCATTTGACATCCTTCTAGAACAAGTGAACCATCTTGCGCCCGTCATATTACTATATGGCGGGCGGAAGGTGGTTAAAAAGTGCAAGTTTAAAAAAAAAAAAAAACTCACTTTATTTTATTCGGAAATAACTTTACAATGCTTTGTACCAGAATTATAATTTTAAACAGGACAAATTACAACATAAAATATGCCATTTTTATGTGCAGCAGTACTATTTATTTTTAAATGAACACTGCAAAAATAAAGTGCATTTTTTTTTGTCCTGTTACGTTTTATTGTCTAAAGATTTTGAAAAAAAATCATTGTTGCAAGACAATATCATGAATAGAAAGCCTGGTTTGTCCTTGAAAAAAAAAAATCTTAAACTTAACAAATGGCAAAGTTATTGCCGAATAAACAAGTCCATAGAAGAAATGTAAAAATTGCTGTGGTCCACAGGAGGTGAAGTGGTGAAATAAGAGATTTCCTTAAAGCGGAACTATACTTAACTTTTCTCCAGTGATGCGGCATCCTGGAGCTCCCCGCCTAGCCGTTGACATCTTCAGGCAGCTGGCTTCTGGGTCTAAATTATATTGTTTTTTGTTTTTTTTGCATTAAATTTCATTAAAGTGTACGTTTTAATAAAAAAAAAAATGCGTTTGAAAAACTGCTGCGCAAATGCCATGTGACAGAAGATTGCAAGCCCACCATTTTATTTTTTAGGGCCTCTGCTTCAAATATTATTACATCGAGTTTATATAGCGCCAAAGGGTTTGCTCAGCGCTGTACAATAGAGGGGGGGAGGGGGACGACAATACATGAAACAGTACAGCAACAACAAACAGCACACCAGGGGTTAGAGGGCCCTACTCTTTTGAGATTACAATCTAAATATATGTTTGGGGTTTCTAAGTAGTTTTCTAGCAAAAAGAAAAATGCTGATTTTGACATGTAGGAGCGAAGTGTCAGAATTGGCCCAGCAGGCAAATGGTTAAGAACATATGTTGGATTTTCTAATCCTTTCTGGGGCCAAATCAACCACAGTGATGAAAGAATTTGAAGAAGCAGGATGGATTTGTTTACTCAAATAAATGAATTTCTAACAGTATATGTGTTTTTTGATTTAGAAAGTTTAATTCAAAATTTCACTTACTTTTAACATATGTTTTCGGAAGTATTTTCAAAGGAAAAAAGTCTAAAAAAGAAAACTAATGCAGCTGTTACATCTAATGACGAATAAGCTGCAATATATTACATTTTTGGCCTTGGGTTTAGTACTGATTTAAGCTACCATTCTAGCAAACTCAAAGATACACTCCTAGCAGTAGAGTGCCCAGGTTTCAAGATGGTATTTACATAACAATCAATAACTGGCATTCCTACAATGCATGAACAATCATAAAAGCTCAAACAACCAGAGGTGTGTGTTTAAGTGTATGTGTAGGTGATGCTTGCCAATATATTGAAATCTTTCTGGAAACAGAAAAGGAGTATTATACACAAAAGGTTTTTAACATATAAAAGGTTTCTATTGTAAGCAAGTGGGGGTGAAGTCACATCAGATCTAGCAATTAATGAAAAGCCTCTTTTCAATGGTGCAGGGAGTAGTTGAGACACCCATTAGTGTTCTTTTCACCCTTTGTCCCATAAGGGACATTATACTTCCCATCCCAGAGACACAGAGGGGGAGATTTCAGAAAACTGGTGCGCTCAGAATCTGCTGCATCAACTTCTAACTTCAGTTTGACAATAAAACCTGGAAGCTGATTGGTTTCTATGCAGAGCTGCACCAGATTCTGCACTCTCCAGTTTTAGTTCATCAACCCCAATATGTAGTAAGAGGAGTCCTCTCCTCCCTCTTCTCTTTTTTAGGGCTCATGTACACTGCAGCTGCTAAACTGACGTTCAGCAGCTGTTGAGTGTTTTTTTCAGCAGCCCCTGAACTCTCCCTATTGTTTTCCTATGTGTCCATGTACACAAAGGCTGGCCATAGACAGGTTGTTTATCGGCCGAATTTTCGTCCGATAAACGAAAAATCGGTCGTTACTGGCACCGATGCCGCCACCAATGTCCACGAAAAACTGCCGTTTTTTCGTGGATTTTCCAACATGACTGATAAAAGTAAACGAAAAGATCTGCGAAAAACGGCCGACGGTATTGCCCCACTAACGGCGCAAATATCGACTGAATTTTTGTGCGGACGAAAATTCGGCCGATAAACGAACTGTCTATGGCCTGCAATAGTCTTTTACAGGCAGTTGAGTTTACAATCATTTTTTTTTTAAAGCACCAAAATTGCGTTCAGGAGTAGATTTTACCAGCGTTTCAAACGCCAGACGCATGTAAACTTGTGTAAATGCTTGTAAACATGGTTAACCGCGTTTACAAGCATTTGCGCTTAAACACGGTTTTTGACAGGTCCAAATCCAGATGCTGTCCAGAGCCTTTTTTCATCATCAGAAATGCATGCAAAGTGTTTTCCATGTATATGGACCTAGCACACCAGCGCAGTCAGTTCCAGGTTTCGTGTGAAGGAATAAATGGTAGAACGTGCTGCATTATGCTCATGATGGGATCCATAGCGAATACAACCAGAAAAGACAGGTCATCTCAAAACATACTACTCTCTCTGCTTCTGCTCTCTCCAAATATCTGAAATAGTTATTTACTACTGCCTTTTGGGCATTTGGGAGGGTCTCCTGAGGTTATCTTTTAAAAACGATTCTGAAAGCAAACGTGCATAAACGCGGAATGCAAACGCAGCTAAACTGACGGTTTTTAACCTATGTTTTTCTAGCAGTCAGTTTCCAGCGGTCAGAAGAGTTTTCCAAATGTCCTGTTTACATAAGCCCTTAGACAGTTGTCACTACTGTAGATCAGGTTTGTCCATTGGAAGATTTTTCCCCACCTCCTATTCCTGTGACAATTCAAAAATATTGGATTTCCAATCCCTTTCTGTCAAGCAGACAATGGTCACCAGTACAAGTTGAGAGAGTAAATCTCTGGAGTGTGGACATACCAGCAACAAAAAACATAATAGGGTTCTAACCCTCCCCACTACTGCATCCAAATCTATATAAAAAAAAAAAAAAAAAAAAACAGGTTTGGCTTCATATTCACTTAAAGAAGCTGTCATTAGAGATACATCAAAGCTACCAATGTCATTCTCTTTTTCTGAAAATACTAGCTGCCTGGCTGCAAAGACGTCCACTTTCCTTCAAGTGGCAAAGTGAAACTAAATCAGTTCAACCTTGTCTATCTGATTATATTAAAGAAGAACAAAAAAAAAAAAAAATTAAGGGAGAGTTATATAAACCCTGTCAGTTTGCTGTCATATGTGTACCATTAGGGAGATTTCCTTTTGCTTCCTGTCCCATAGCCAAAACAGGAAGTGAGAGGAAATTTTCATAAACTGAGATAATCCCTTGTTTTTACCAGAACTAGTGTACCCATTGGAAGAGTTCCCCTTTATCCTTGTTTTGGCGACCACCCAAAATATGGGTTTTCTTTTACTTTGACTATAATTGAAAAAGGTCACCAGGTCAAATAGGGTGAATCTCCCTAATGGGACACAAGCAGTAATAAAAACCTGGCAGGTGTGCTAATCCCTCTTCCCTGTATCCAAAACGTTATACTTTAAAAGGAGAAGTAGGGCCAGAGCTCTTTTGGCCCTACTTCTCTGGTCGGTCACAGGAGTACACTTCCTTTTGCATTCCTGTGAGCCGTATTCAGCTGATAGACTAAAGTCTGCTGTCAGTTGACTTCACTCAACCGGTCCAGACTCTGGAGGGACCCCCAACTTTAATGTCGGGATCCACCCAGTTGCCTGACCGTTCCTACCGCCTCCACAGTCCAGCGTTCCAGTGAACACTGGTGGGACAGATCAGAGAGCGGTGACTGACAGTAACCAGTTCTCTGCTCACTGAGCCTGGGTTCACACTACTGCGGTGCAGCACATCGCATGTAATTCATACAGAAACCACACCGCATTCCTGTGCAAATCACATGCAAATTCTGTGCGGTGCATTTTGAGCCATACTTTTTGTATGGTTCAGATTGCACCACATCCGCAACAAAATAGTGCAGGACCCTTTTTTTTTGTCTGCACTAGAATCAGATCGCATGGGTGTGATTACCCATGCGATCTGATTCTGCACATCACACAGCATTTTGCGAACAGATTTCAGGGTGTTGTTAATTTAACATACACACCCACAGCAGTTCGCATGAATGGAGTGCGATTATGATGCTGTGCGGAATTGGCGCGGAATCTTGTGCGAATTCTGCACCGCATCAGTGTGAACCTAAGCTGAAGGCTGAGCTGAAGGCTGAGAACTGAGCAATCAGCTGTCTTTGATCACTCAGTTCTTAGCCCTAGAGGTGGCGGTGTACAGATACAGCAACATACTAAAGCTGCATCCTCCTAGGCAAGTATGTAGGTTTTTTTTTTTTTACATCCCACACTTCTCTTTTAATGGCGCATTGATTCTACTGTGAGGAAACACAAACTAAGATCGTTATTCCTTCACAAGACTGAAAAGCATGGCACCATTTACTGTGACAGAAGCAGAACCTTTTAACTTTTTTTCTGGTCTTAAAGCCTTCATTCACATCTAAGTGTTTTATCACACAATATCCAAAGAACAAAAATGCTCAAGAATGAAGAATCCCTTTATTCTGAATAGGCCAATAGGCCTGTTCACACCTGAGCATCTTTTGTTTGTCACCTAATGTGTGAAGCTCAACAAAGTACACAAACTTCTTTTGGGCAAAACTGTGCATTTTGCCCCCATAAAATGTAATGGGAGCTCCCGCAAAATGCTTAAAGGTTAAGTTCACCTTTTGAAAAATTTAACAAATGCACATTTTTTAAATGTACTGGTGTT